TATATATATATATATATATTTATTTCATATGATTATAAAATGTATTTTTATTATTCTTTAAAGATAGATTATATCATTTCAACTACATTTTCTCCATAAAAAAAAATCAAAATTCGAACATTCAGTTCTTAAAGAGCCAAAGTTCATTACTACTCATACTAATCAAAGGTAAAATAATAATGATTCTTTTACATTTCAATGAGAAAATTACCTTTTTATATAAAAATAATAATTTAATTAAAATATATTAACAATTTAAGATTTTTTACATCATCAATCAATCACAGATTTGAAGTAACTTGATAGGTTGACATAGTAATTAGATATTTTGTACACATGTTATGAAGATGATTTATTTAACAAGAAATTGTGTATTTGATTCATATTATGTGCAAAAATCCTTTGAACTATAACAATCATAATAGTATGAAGTAAAATTAGTATATGATTCAAGGAATTAAGAAATACTATGGTAAGAATTTTTTTTCCCCATAAATTTGAAGTGAATTTAAAAACTACAAGAAACAATGTTAAATTGTGACAAAATTAATAGTTTTTCACCTAATGTGTACAACTTAAATGTTTTTAGGTATTTTTGCTTAAGTATTTTTTTAACTATCTTGAGACTTTTAAGAATGAGAAAATGATTTTTTTTTTTAAATCAAGACATCTCTTAGTTGAAAACTAAGAATTATTCTCTCAAAATATTGAGATCTATTTAAGTCAACTAAGAATTAATCTCTCAAAATATTGAGATTTATTTAAGGAATTGATCTCTTCTAACAAATATTTTTTATACACATCATTAATATAAAAAAAATGATTTGGACTCATTTGAATAAATTTAAGAAAATAAAATAATGATTTACAGCAATCCAAAAATTAAATGGTATAATTAGTAACATATATAATATATATTATTTTTAAAAATGTAAATATTATTAAACTGAATTTTATTTTTATTAATACTTACACATATATAGTGATGAAAAAAATTTATGTAATGTAAAATAGTATTTATATTGTAACCCGATCAACAATTGTGACAAATTTGTTTTACTTTACTTTTACATAGAATATATTTTAAGTCATACCAACAATAAAATTTAATTGGTTGACAATATTAAAGGTTTTATGTTAATTGTATGTAGTTGTCAAATTTGTGCAAAAGATAAAGTATGTAATTTATAATTTTATTAATTTTTTTAAAAAAATTAGTAGTTAGTTTTGACTTTTATATAAAGTCATGTTTTACTTTAATATAAAATTTTTATAATAATAAAAGAAAAGAGCTACCAAACTCTTTTTATTTTATTTTTATTTATTAATCTTTTATCTTATTGTCATCAACCAACCTCAATTCGAATAAATAAAATTCCACTTTTATCACTGTTTGGTGTGAAAGAATTATTCTCTATTTTCTAGAATTAGTTCTGCTTTTACATTCATCAGTTAAAAAAAATTAAAATTTGAAGATTAGAACTTAATAACAACCGGAAGCATTTGACTTCCAGCTTTATTTCAAATGCCATATTTTAATTTGAATTTACAAAAAAAAAAAAAGAGAAAAAGAAAAACTCAAAGTTTCCCAATGGAAGATCCATTTTCATGTACAGTGAAGATATTATGCGAGTTTCATGATTTAGGGGATCACCATAACAAAGTATATTCCATTCTTTTTTTTGAAAGAAAACAAATATATGAATCGATCGATTAGATTTTTGTTCATGATAAGATTAGTAAAAAAAAATTAACAAGTAATGTTTTTAATTTAGACTTTATCTTTTAAGGTTTTATATTTAAAATGTCAAATTTAAATCAGACGGTGCAAAATAGATCTAAGAGAGCGGGATCAAGATAATTAACGGTTAAAAACCCTTGATGCCCGTACAGCCACCACAGTCATATTTACTGAAGAAAAAAAAAATTAACAAAGGCAACGAAAAATAAAATATCTCTTTCTTTTTTTTTTTTTGGAAAATTGTTTCATATCTCTTTATTAATATTTTTTTCTCTATGGAAACTGAAACATGATATTAAAATTTCATGTATCAACAACCAAAAGCGCGTTTATCCTTTGTACAAAAAAACAACAAAAACGCGTTTGAGAAAAATGAGCCGAATATTTTTTTAATTTAATTTTAAGAAATGCTTATATTTTTATTTCAATTATTTTTTACAACAATTATATGTTATGACAGGGCATTAAATGAAATCAAATTGATCTCTTTGACTTTTTGGAAACTGAAATTATCTTCTTATAACAATTATTTTTAATTTACTTTCTCTTCTTGATGTAGTTAATTTACTTTCTTAAAAAATAATAATGACAGTTTCATTCTTTAATTTAATCAAATTTTAAAGTTAATATAAATATATATTTTGTTTTAAAAAGTGAGCGAATCATTTTTTTAAGGATAAAAAATAAATCCAAGTAAATGATCTTACTAACAAGATAACAATGTCGGTAAATAGTTATTGTTTTAGTCTTATATGTTAGATTTGAGTTAAATTGTAAAAAATATTTGTAGAACGTAGATGATGACAATATCAGTTAGTAGTATCACAAAAAGGACAGGTAACCAAACAGTAATTAGGATGCAAAGCAAACAGTTTAAAATACTGAAAAATTAAATTTAAACAGAGAAAGGGAGAGAGAGAGAGAGAGGTGAATGAGATGCTTCATTGAATCTTGGGTATGATATTGATATCTATATCTACCTCTGAGTCACTCACTGTATAATATTAAGTGAAATGAGTACATAGCATCAAACTTTGGTGTGCAGTACTGTATCTGTAACAGTGAAGGAAGGAAATAGGAATGAATGCAAAGACTATAGTCTAGATAGTGAGTGAGTGAAGCTAAAGCTACAAAACAACCAAACAAACAAACAAAAAAAACTCAATTTTTCTGTTCTCATTCTGGGGTTTTTGCTTTTCCTCATTCTCTCCTCAGCACCACAAAAATGGGCCTTGTTTCCCAGGATGCCCTCAACCAACTCCAAGCTCTCATGGATCAAGGTCTTCCCTTTATCACATATTCTTTTTTGTTTTCATCTTTCTCTATTTTTTTCCTCAGTCCTTTTTTCTTTTTATTGAATTTTTTCTTTCTAATGATGCTAGTTGAGGGTGAGCCACTGCAGAGAACTTTTCAGGTAACCATTTTTAGTAACTCCTTCCCATCTGATTTCAACATTCCAATTTTTTTTTCCTTCTACTTTTGCTTCTTGGGTGTGTGCTTGTGTTTTTTTTCGACATGTGCTGATCCTGATCTCTCTCGTGCCTGACCCGTGTAAATTGCATGTTGTGTTTCTATGGATTTTGTTTACTATGACCTTTGGAACCATGAAATTGTTGTGATTGCTGTGTCTATATATGTTTCATCAAGGTTGTTGACTAATTTGTTCTTCTACATTCTCCATTCCTGTTTAAGTCTTTTCACGAGTGATAATGATTCAGCAAAAAGAAGGGGGAGGGAGGATGAGATCTGATTTCAAGTGTGTATAGTTCCATCAATGTTGCACTTCGGTGTATATCTTCAGCTCTTTGTTAACTTGTTTGAAGGAGACAGTCATTTCTTATGTTTCACACCTCCTTTTGTTTATTTAAGTATACTGGCATTATGACATGTGTAATTGGTAATAAGATCTTTCTGTTTCTGGATTGTTACAAATTTAATCAATTTTCTACATTCCTCTAATGCAATTGGGTTTGATGAAATCTGGTGATCTCTTAGCAGCTGAACACAGCTGCCTAAGGACAAATTTTTTCACTATAAAAGCACTCTATCTCCCGTTTTGGGTTTAATTGCTGTTCTTTGCAGAATGTTCATCAAGGTTGTGTCACTGAAACCTTAAAGCGGTTTCTAAAAGCAAGGGAGTGGAATGCTACCAAGGCCCATAAAATGGTAAGACATGTACAATGGAAGTGTTGTTTTATCGAATACTTTGCAAATGTTGTGTTTGTTGTTGTAAGTTGGCTATGATATCCAATTAATTTATTTGTAACTGTCTGTATTATGATTCAGATAGTTGATTGTTTAAATTGGAGAGTACAAAATGAGATTGACAACATATTATCCGTAAGTCTAGATTCTACTGATCCTTGTATATTATTGTTTAGACATTTCTTTTGGCAGTTCATTTTTTTTTCCAGTTAGGTGGTTGTCCGTAACTGTAAATAAGATATATTTTGTCGTGACCTTTTATGTATTTATTGGCAAAATCTTATTAAGACATTTATTGTAAATGGCAATGGTTTATACTTGTTAAGCCTGGATGTTGTTTCATTTACAGAAACCTATAATCCCTACTGATTTATACAGAGGCATTCGAGATTCACAACTTATAGGATTGTCAGGGCACTCAAGAGAGGTGCTCTTCAAACACGATCTTTTTCTGTCCATTTCATCTTAGTTGTGCTTGCTTGTCATTAACATGCACATTTTTATTGCCATTGATCAAAATTACATAAATTTTTTGTTTTATCTCCTCTTTCTAATCTTAAAGCTTGCTCTGCCTGACATACTTTCTAGGGTCTTCCTGTCTTTGCAATTGGTGTTGGGCATAGCACATTTGACAAAGCATCTGTAAGTTTAATTTATTAGAAAAGGGAAAAGGAACATTACTATGTTTAGAGCACTATCTATCACTTTATCTTAAAGCCTTCTTATCTCTTCTAACATTATTTTGTGTGCTTGAATGATTGACCGCAGGTCCATTATTATGTGCAGTCTCACATTCAAATTAATGAATATCGTGATCGTGTAATTTTGGTGGGTATTACTATTTGGAGTCCTTTACGATTCTTATTTGCTTTTCAATTGACCTGTTAGTTTACCTTCTTCCCATTTGTTTGTTTTCACCCATATATACTTGTAGCCTAATGCATCAAAGAAGCAAGGGAAGCCTATTACCACTTGTGTAAAGGTTTTGGATATGACTGGTCTAAAGCTGTCAGCCCTGAGTCAGATTAAGGTACCTTTTTGGATATCTGGAAGTAATAGGCTTACTCAAATTTGCACTCCTTTATTTGTGTTTAGATCAAACTGTTACACAAGTAGTAGAATTTAGACCTACTTGTGAAGAATTGCATAAAGCAGAAAACCTATGTTAACTCTTTCTTTTTCTTTGTTTTCAAACATTTTCCTATATCTTTGAGTTGTCTTTCACGCTGATGCAGCTGTTAACAATTATATCATCCATTGATGACCTGAACTATCCAGAGAAAACAGATACTTATTACATTGTAAATGCCCCATACATATTTTCAGCTTGTTGGAAGGTATGGAGATATCATTCCTTATGACTTGGTTTTCTGTATGATATTTTTTTTCTTATTATGCTGGTTTAAGCTGAACACCTTTTGCGACCTAAGGATAAACCTAAACAATTTGCATTAACAGGTTGTGAAGCCACTTTTACAAGAGAGGACAAGAAGAAAAGTGCAAGTCTTACCAGGTTGTGGGCGAGATGAGCTATTGAAGGTAAGGTGGTCATTTTTATTTTATTTTAAATTCTTACATAAAGATTAGTAGAAATACACACTCAGAAGGTTTTAAATTGTGCCCTACAGCACTACTATAGTGGTGTAGAGCGGCCCCAGCTTGTTATGGGGCCCTCATATCAGGGTGGTTTAGTGTGGCGGTCATAGCAAACCAAATAGCTGGCCGAATAGTGGCCATTGCATGCGCTATAGCAGTGCTATGTGTTCATTCCGGAAATTCCCTCTGAATAGGAAACTTTTTGACTTTTGTTGATATTTATTTGTATGTTACGTTTAAGTCGCGTATGACTTTTAATTGTTAATTATGAATGCCATTAATTTTGAATAACTTTTATCAGTTGAGAATTTATATTTATATAGTATACATTATATAAACAAAAATTTCAAAATAGCAACTCCTATAGGTTTTGGGGTTGGTTGCTATCAGAGATTTAAAGCATTGCTTTCGCTCAACAGCAGAGATCATGGGCAATAGAATTTTTGTTTTGCCCCATGGCTTGATCTCAATTGTTTGAACCACAGACCCCTAGTTTCATAATAGAAAAGAGAAGTGCAATGGAAGAGGACAAATTTTCCTTTTAATTTAACAAGAAAGGAGGACAACCAAACAGAAAAACATGTTAGGCAACTGGGGAGTATTGAATTTTTTTGTCATAGAGATGCCTTGCACTGTGTGTTGCCACTTGCCATTAAAGTCTTGCCCCCGTTATGCTTCAAGTAGCCTTTAAAACTAGTTGTAATAAAATGTAACACCACGTAAATTTAAAGCATCATAGAAATAAACTATTACTTGTCTCAGAATTAAAAAAAGAACATTACACAGGCATAAGCACAGTATTAGGTCTGTAGATCTATAACATTGAGTTTTGTCCTTATATCAACAATCCATTCAACGCAGGTTGGATGAATTTGTGCAGAAAAAAGAAACAATTCAACATAAAAGAAAATTTGAAAAAAGGAACTGTTTGTTAGTTGTGTTTTATACATTCCCTAATCTCCCTTTTTATAGGGTAAAAATGAGACTATGTTTAAAAAAGAAAGAAAAAAAAACAATAATAAAGAACTAGGGAAACAAATATCTAAAGATATTTAGAGATATTTTTGACCTCTTAAATTGTCTATGATATTTACTACAAGAAAACTATAAATAAAAAAAAAAAAAAACAATAAGAAAGAACTAGGGAAACAAATATCTAAAGATATTTAGAGATATTTTTGACCTCTTAAATTGTCTATGATATTTACTACAAGAAAACTATAAATAAAAAAAAAAAAAAAAAAAACTGAACCCATTACAAGGGGGAAATTGGAGAAATGCAAGTGATGCTAATATTAATGTTACAAATGGTGATGTTCTGTTTGTCTAATATATGTTAAAAACATAGATAATTTGATGTGCTTTCTGTTTTTTATCATCAACTTTAGACAAGGATTATGGTACAACCAAAATAGAGTATATAAGTGAGAAGCAATTCACATCTTACAAGTAGGTTTTGTAAAGTTGAATTAAGCTTAATCTCACATTCTTTAGATGGTAAGGTTGAATTAGATTCAACTCCACATTCTTTAGATGGTATTAAAACCTATCCTAGTGATTATTGTTAGGTTTATCATGCCATCGCTATTGGGTCATATTGAACCACCAATAAATGTTCAGTCAGGAGCCATCTCACCTTATCCTAAATTCATTAAAAATGATTACCCACCATTTATTCACACACTAACTCAATAGTGTTGGATGTTAGGGATATATTAGGAAGAACTTAAAGTCCTATATTGACTAGAGATAAGATCAAAATGAAATATAAAAGTTGAGGACAATTTTTATCTTTCAAGTTGGTTTTATAAAATTGAGTTAGATCACATTCCACTTTTTTAAAATTGTTCGGATTTTAGAGAAAAAGAAAATCATGAAGCTTATTTTCTTCTCTTATAAATATTTATAGGGAAGTTTATCCAAACATGTCATGTGTTTGTGCATTTTGTTTACTATAAAAAGTAGCAGTAGCCAGAGTAGCACAGGTCATTCCTCTGGAAGTGAATGGATTCTTATTCTGAAAAATTCTTTACTTTTTATTCAGTCCCTGTTAATAAGTTTGTGGAGTAGTTCCTTTTTATATTGTAAATAGAAAAAAAAAAAAAAAAAAACTTGACTAAATGTATTTTAACCTGTTGTCTAATTTGATATGTTCAATTGAATTTAACAAATAAAATTCGGCATGTAGATCATGGATTACGCATCTCTGCCGCATTTCTGTAAAAGAGAAGGCTCAGGATCATCCAGACACTCACAGAATGGAAATGAAAATTGCTATTCCCTGGATCATCCTTTCCACCAGGAGCTCTACAATTACATAAAGGAGAAATCTAGAATCAATGAAGCTGTTGAACCCATCAAACAGGGATCATTCCATGTAGATTTTCCTGAACCTCCTGCTGAGAAAGCAGAGATTGTGAAGACTCTAGAGTCTGAGCTACACAAGTTTAAGATCAGCAATGGGAATGGTGTTTGAAGATTGATGCTGTTGCTAATGTTGTCTTGGTCATGTGATCTTTGCAAGTCCTACTAACCATTTGAACCAAACTAATGTAGTACAAGGGTTCCTACTCCACTCTACCATCAGGATTCCGCAGTACTAGTTAGCCTTGTTTATGTTAGCTTCAGAAATTTAGGGAGTAGCAGAATAAAGCGGATCCCAGATTTGCGTTATGCCATAATGCAAGTGAGAAATGTCAAATATGGTTATTACCATCATGTTTCTTCCAAGTTTGATATTTTGTGTTTTCTCTTTATATTGCCTTCTAATTTCTAATGTCAGTTATGTTTGAAGTGCTGAACTTGGAATTAAAGAGTATGTATATGCTATTAGATTTGTGGGACAAAAAAACTAGTTATTTTCATTTATGTGTTTAGATGATATTATTACCTTTAACTCAGAAAGAGTTGTACATGGTAAAGGGAAGGACAAAGGTTCTAATATAGAAGAAGAATTCATTTGTAGAGCGATTCATTCATTTCATTTTATAGTCGAAAGAATTAATTTTATACTTAAAGGTTATCCACTTATCCTTAACAATCTTTTTTTTTATTCTATATTTTTGCTAGTCATATTTTATTTTGCTTAGGCAACAAAAATTTCACTTGCAAATGAGTACTTTTCTATCATAGGAATACTAAATTATTCATTTATATATCTATCATAGAAATAATATTATTTATTATATGTATTTTCTACGACAAACAATTTTGTTCAAATCAAACAAGACAATTTACACATATTTAAATTACAACAGATTTCACTATTTGTATAAAAACACGTTAGTATAGCCAGCAATCTTTAATAAAAATATTTTTGTGAATAATTTTAAGAAAACTGAGTAATTCATGCAACTCCTCATTTCTACCGAAAGTCATACTTTACAATTTCTTATTCAAATTTTACTCAACAAAATGTCAACATGTATAAAAACAAGTAAAAAGTTATTTTTTAAAAAAAACAGAAAATTACCTTTTTATTCTTAAAAACAAGTAAATTTTATTTATTTCATTAAAAAATATTTTAAAAAATTAAACAAACATTTTAACTTAAAAAAAAAAAAAAAAAAAGATATCCAAGCACAACACAAGCACATGGTTTATTGGGAGACAAACACGTTTTATATTACTGTACTCGAAGCTTCTTCACCTTACCACAATTTGTAAGTAATGAAAACCAAAGAACAGACACATCTAAACATATTCCCTTCAACGTGGAGAAACATGAAACCTAGGAACTCAAGAAACCACGTTGTTCACATTGATCATTCTCATTTGCATGGAATGGAAGATATTGACATGGCTTTTAAAGCGAACTGCGAGAGTTAATTTTCGATGCATAAATGATCGATGATATAGTACAAGGAGCCTCTCATAGTCCCATCTCCCAAGAGAAAGTCACAAACACAAAGCCAATGAATGCTACTGAATATTGATAAGTATAACCCCCCCATATGCATATCCGAGACTGAAAGAAAGAAAGAAAGAGTTCACTTCTAAATACGAAGAGAGATTGATCTTGAAGAGTTGTCTGAGTATTCCATGTTTTGTTCATCTTCACGCCACTTCTTTAGCTCTCCCTCAACTGCATCCTTTGCAGAATCTGCCATCTCAGCATTCCTCAGTGCCATATCAGTTGCAGCTTTTATTTCCTCAATTGCTTTCAGGTTTGCCTCCACTTTTCTGTCAACTTCATTCTTCCTTGTGTTGATTGATTCCACCTGAGCTATGGCTGCTGTTTCTGTTCTCTCAATCAAGTCCTCAGACTCCTTGATTTTCCCACTCAGAGCTGCAAACTCATCAACTGTCAACACAATCTTTCCGTTCACATCTGTCGTTGAGACAGTCTCTGCAGCATTGAGGTCAGACATCATCTTCATCTCCTCAATGGCCCTTTGTTCTGCTGCTTTTGCTTCTTTAGCTTGTTTCAGATAAAGCTCTAGCTTCTTCTCTAGCTCTTCTGCCAATGCTTTCGACTTTTCGGCCTCGTGCTTCAGCTCTTGAGCCTTTGTTCTCATCTCTTCCTCTTCCCTTCTTGCAGCTTCTGCCTCAAATGAAAGCTGCTTGATCTTCAAATCCATGTCAGCACTCTCATCAGATTCTTTTTCCACTACAGAACTTGTCTCTTCTGTTCTGTTCTGCAGTTGATCAGTTAGGTTCTCAGCATGAGCTTCCGCTGCCTTTTCCTTCTCCTTGAGTTCCTCTTGCTCTTTCTTCACTTGTTCTAATTCTGTCCTTAGGGAATCCACTAGGTTTCTCAGGTAGCTTTCTTCTTCAGCAACTTCCTGAAGTGTTTTTGTGGCTTCTTTGATCTCCAAAGTTATTTGTCTCACTGAATCTGTATCTGATTCACGTGCCTGTTTCAAATGCTCTTGAAGAACCTGAATCTCTTCATTTGTTTCAGAAAGTTTGGCCTCTAGATTTTGTGTTAGTTCAGGATCATACTCACTCTTTAAGGCCATCAGTTTATTCTGTACTTCTTCCGTGGCACTCATGTAAAAACTTAGTTGTGCCTCTCTTTCTTCAGTGACCTTAGCCTGATCTTTTTGGGCTAGTGATGAGGCATGCTTCAATTTTTCAATTTGTTCCTTCATGGTTGCCATTTGGTTTGAGAGTTCAGTGAGCTTTTCCGAGTTCAATTTTGCGGAACGTTGAGCCTCGCCTGCTGTTTGGAATGCAGCAAGTTTTGCCTCCAATGCTGTGTCAAAATCCTGCCTGATTTTGTTCAGTTCTTGCTTGGAAGAATCTAGTTCCTTTACTGTTGTTGTGTACTCCTTTCTTGCATGTTCTAGTTCTTGCTTCCAAGCTTCATATCCTATAGCTTTTTGAGATAGTGCTTGTTCAAGCTCTTTGGCCTGATTCTTCACAACTTCAGCAGCTTCTATTGCTGATCGCTTGGATTCCCTCACACTGTTGAGCTTCTTTGTCAACTCCTGAAGTGTCACATTGGCCTTATCAAGCTCGGAAAGTGCTTTGCTTCTTGTGTTGTCAGCACCTTCCAGCTGTTTCCTTATCTTGTTTAATTCTCTTTGGGCCAAGAGAAGCTGAGTCTCCTTTTCCAGAACATTCTGCAAACCACACAAGTTACCAATCGTGAATTATAACTTCACTAAGAATGATACTGTTATTAATGGAAAATGATACAATTGTTGAAACCAAAATCATGCAACGAAAGCACCATTCCAAACTTGGTAATCTCCTCAAGTTGTGTGTGTCTTGAAGAGACACAAGAGGAAATATATTATGCGGAGGAGCTTAATAAACTTATATTTTTGGACTCTATCTATAAATAAAGTGTAACACAAAACTCAAAAAAACTAATAGGACCCTAATCTTAAAATCAAACTGATAACATTTTCGAAGTCTAGATGATAAGAATAATCTTATTTTTTTATCTAAACATATTCAAAAATTTGAAACATAACAAAATTTCTTAAAAACTAAGTTATTCATTTTCAAATTACAGATATTTAGAGATATTTTCGAAAAAATCAATTGTAAAGGTCTATAGTTAACCAGCATCTAGGGTCGTGTTTTTGGCATCAAGCTTCCAAGTGTAAAATGGGAATTTTCCTTGTCTGAGTATTGAATCCTAGTCCTAGATTGGTTTAATGGAAAAGTCATATTTGATGTTTACCTCTGAAGATCTTCTCTTGATAGAACGTCTTTCCTTTGGGACAACTACTTCACCAAATAAACTCACAGCTGCTTTAACGGATTGGAATGGAGCCCTTGTGTCAATCTCTCCGACCTCTCTTGGAGATTCGGTGTCCTTTGGTTGATCTCTAACTCTGAAACTCATTATATTCTTTCTTCTAACTTGTAAAAGGTATCTGCATGCATATGATACATAACAATTAGCACGATGAAGATAAATATCCTAATACGAAACTGCATAACAACATATTTTATATGCTTTCAAACTTCACCACCTTTGATATACAATATCATTGCACACACATGGCATGTTAGATATATTATATATCCAAAGCATAAGTTAAAAGGACTAAAGATATAATTACCTTAATGTTTGATGTTACAACAAAGGTTCTTACGTAAATGAAACAAATATGGAGCCAGAGACTCCTCCTTTCACTTGATATCAGGTAGAGCTCAGATAATGAATTTTCAAAGTGGAGGTGTTGGAATTCAAAAGAACCAAGATGAAAACGTGGGATTCTTTTAAGTCCAAGTTCTATTTACCTTCATGGACCATACAAAACTAAGGCACTTCCTAAAATATGGCTGGTTGAATTTGCTTGGAAATAGAATTGGCTATATATATGTTATTTTTGGTTGTTGGGGGCAGAGAGGTTTGTGGTGGTGCTGCTGACAGAAAATGCCAACCATACAGGATTGTCAAATACAAAAATGACCCTTTTCCATTCTGTAATTGGAAAAAATTGAGAATTATGCGAAAAATATGGAAGATTGAAACGTGCCATGATGGATATTACATAGTAAATACAACTTGGAAAAATCAGCAAAACAGTTTTACCAAAGGGTCAACATGGTTCAACACAGTCCCTATAATGTTAGGATGACACATCATGCATGAACAATCCCTTTAGGATTCTAAATTTAGGATGTGTCCCAAATTGGAGTAAACCTTGCAGATCTAGATCAATTATTAATGCAAGTATAGCAAAGTTGATATGGTTTGGTCATTTGAATGTAACAATTACCCATTTAATGTTACAAGCCTGTAAACCACCCAAGAGGTTGACGAGGCTTTTGTCTAACATGTATCATTTTTTAGGCACAATTGATAAGAAATAGAGAGATTTAAACACTAAGATGAGATTGTGCTTTCGAAGTTCCAATAGGGTGTTTGTCGTTTAGCTTTACAGAGGAAATGCGTCTTCATGTCGTTGATTATAGTTAAGATGTGTGTATTAAGTTGCAGTTTAATTGGTGTATGGAAATTGTGAAAACGTTTTAAGAAAGCTCCTGCAAAGTGTTGATTCGACAAGTCTTCGGAAAGAGAATTGATACTTCATCTATTTTCTTTTCTAAATAATCTTTAGAAAAGTCCACTTTATAAGTAATTTATTAAAATAAAATTTCTATGAATGTCATTGTTACACTTTTAGAAAGGTACAAACCTCTCTATCTTAGTATAAACAGTGATAAATGTATAGAATTTATTTTCCATTAATTGTGCACGTAATTCTAAAAAAATAAAGATAATTTAGTCTGTATTAATTTTGAAAAAAATGTACGTAATAAGAAAACTATTTTTTAAAGATACTATTATGACTCAATTCATCATAATAGTAGAAGTATTCCTGAGTTGAATTGGTTTGAGTTTGGATGAAAATCTCATCCAGGCATCCATATCAGTTAAAATTAATTAGATTGGTTTGATTTAGATTATTGCATATCTAATGAATTTTTAAAAAAAATTAAATTTAAAAAATAATTTTTCCTCAAAATAAATAGATTTTCCAATATTAATGTAGCATAATAATAATAAAAAAAGGTTTAATATTTAAATGATAGTGATTCTTAAATTAATGAATACAATAAATAGTACGATAAAATTCTAAAATTTAATATTTCTTGAATTCTTTATCTGGTACATAATTATTTTTGAAAACTCTATTTTTTAGAAATTAAAAAAAAAAATTAATTTAATGGCCAAATAAATGATATAGATACTGCATTAATATTTTACTCAATATGCTTATTGAAAATTCATAGAATTTTTGTAATATTGATTTATTTTATAAATTTGACAACTATCAAATGAATTTGTAAATACTTAAAAAAGAATATTTTCTAACCAACTTAACTGAATATTGATTAATATTTGAAACATAATTCATAACATCAGTTGAATATTTTGTTTTTGGTACAAGTCAGTTGAATATAAACTTTTGTTAACAATTTGTTTTTTAGTAATTGATAATTAAACTATTTAATTAAATAGAACAATAACAATAAACATACATTTAATTTGAAAATACTCACATTATCAATTTTTATCATGGCACGAGTCAAAAAATATATATATATAAAAAGAGAGAAAAGAAAAGAGAGATTTATTTAATATAAAAGTAAGTATAAACAAATTTACTTCAAATTCAGTGGTACAGAGAGTGAAACTTTTGAGTTGTGAGTGATAGACGTTCATTTTCTGGTTGCAACAGTGAACAGTGTACTCTCGCCTTGTCTGAAGCCACATACCTGTTATCCCATCTCATGCAAATCTGCCAAAACGTTATTGCTTATTCAGATCACCACTGTTTGCATAGTTCAAATAAACTATCCAGCAACACTCTCTTTCATATTTTTCTAACTCTTTATTATTATTGATTCAACTTTTAGATTATAAATTTTGATGTTCAGTGTAGAATAACGATGGATTCAGTTGGAAATCTCACATTAATTAATAAAATGGCTGAAATAAAGCATATGAATTGAAACAATCTTTTAATTTATAAATTAGTTTTATAAAATTTAGTTAAACTCAAAATTACAATATTTGCTAATATTAAAATTTATCATAATAGAAGTTGAATTTATCATATTACTTGTTATTGAATTTTCATTCGACTACCCATAAGTGTTCAATTTTATTATAAGAGATGTGTATTGAAAATATTATATTAACTAGTAATATAACTAAAATAATATTTAAAAGATGAATGACATTATTAAAACATAACAAATCAGCATTGTAAAAGATACTTTATTTAACGTTTAAGGAAATGTTTGAATTCACATTTGGATATCCTTAACTTGAGTCTTAAATTAGTTAAACATCATTTTAGTGGTAAATATTTAGAAGAATTTTTTTTTTAATATTTAAGGGTATGTTTGGATGCAAAATTTAATATTGAAGGGTACGTTCTGAATTCAAGTTTTGATGTTTTTAACTAGAGTCCTAGTCAAACATGATTTTTCTATTAGCCATTATGTTTGTCATTAGGTTGAAAACTTAATTTAAAGTTTTAAACTCATCTCGATGAAGATATTACAAATAACTTCTGTATAAACACTAACTTGAGTTGGGATATATATATATATATATATGTGTGTGTGTGTGTGTTATAATAACACTGGTGTAACTGTTATTAAGTATTACATCACTCAATAATTTTATATTAAATGTGAATTTTGTAAGTCTAACAATTAGATTGAAAGTTCATATCACTTTATATGTTTATATATTACGTCAGTTTTATTTTATAAGAATAAAATATTAAATCATCTTGGATTAATATAAAATTGTATATATGATCTGAAAATAAAGAACTTTCAAACTAATAGTTAGAATTACAAAATTTACATTTAATATAAAGTTATTGATCGGTATAATACTTAGTAAAAATTATATCAGTATTATTATAACCTATATATATATATATATGTGTGTGTGTTTAGCCCATGTATACCTTTAGTTAAACTCAAGTGATTTTTGTAATTACACACCTAAAATGAACCTTGATCGTAGGTTTTTTAAAGAACATTCTGTATTAAAATCAATTTTATTATCCAAACAAAAATCATGTTAGTACAACTCATGTTTACTTCAATCAATATGTAAAATCATGTTAATTTAAAATCAATTCTACATATGCATGGATATACAATCAGTTACTAAGTCAATGTAATATTATAGATATATATTCGCATCTTAAGGATAATAGTCCTTCAGCATTGCATCACGCACGGGTCACTCGCAGCTAAGTAAAATGAGAATGAGCTTTAAGACCCGCAAATTACATCAAATCTTCTAGAAGCTGTGCCAAATCCAAGTCTTGTTTTTGAGTTTAGGAACCACGATGGCTTTGACTTTTGACTGCACAGTAATGAACGACCACCCTTTTATGTAGTACTATAATTGCTTGCCATTAAATATTTATATGGTTACTTTGGAGAAAAATCAAATGTATTAGGTTTACAAAAAATAAGCCACATGTGATCCACCCACAACCAAAATCAGTCAATGATATCCAATCATGCAACTACCTACCATTATTATTATTATATATTAAACACAAAATCAGTTTCCAAAGATAATATAATTGATTAAGTTCATTTATTTCTATTAATTAGAACTTGGAACTAATTTTCTTGTATTTTATATCTTTCTGAACTTACGCTGAAGATAAGGTAAACTTACACAGAAGATAAGGTAGATGAATTATTATACTATTAAAAATTTTCTACAGTTCAAAAATTAATAGTTAATTCTAATCTTACATGAAGTCATGTCTTGTTTAAATTTAAATTTTTTGTAAAAAAAAATATTAAATATGAAACCCTTATCTGGAATATTTTGCTGCTGACATAGATTTGTATTAGAGAAATACTAGTAACACATTCCGTACCATACTTTTTTAAATACACTATCAAAAATTCAAAACTGCTGACAGGAATCATCACACTCATAATTTAGGACCCCGTATGTTTTAAATTTAAGTAAAATTAACTCATGTAAGTTTAAGAAATTAACTTTTTGTATAAAAGGATGCCCTTGAGTTCAGCCTAAAATGTGGTTGAAGGAATTTCTTTAGTTCTATTAAAAAGGCAATGTTGACAGTAACATTGGCATCCATAGAAAGCTGCAAATATATTATCGAAAGATACAATCATATTACTCAAAATAAGACAAATCTTACAAAATTATAATTTCCATATCAACCTGTCACAAAAAAAAAACAGATATTCCTTCTAGAATGCCAGAAGCAGATTAACCACAAACATGCTTTGGTCACAAGGCAATCAAAAAACCCGCCTAAAGGTAAGGTTAATGCGTGTAGCATCAGCTTTTACACGCTTAGGCACAGAGTGAATCCAATCTCGTTGGGTATAGCCTCTCATCACCAAAAGAGATCCATGCTTAAGTCTAAATGTATGCTGATCAGCATCATGGCTACCCTTCTTCAATCTCTTGTTGGAAGGTTCACCACTTCCATCTGAAACATCCACACCAAATGATAATATGTTCATGCATACCACAAAGGTCCATTACTAATTGTATTACATACTATCACACACACACAAAAACAGAGTTTATGGGCCTATTTAGGTACACTTATCTAAGACCACTTCTAGAAGAAAAAAAATAAGAAAAATGAAATAAATTTCTCCAAAAATTAAAATTAGCTTGTACATAAGTTAATCTGAAAAAGGTCTCTCATGTTAGCTTCTGAGAAAAAATGTTTTTTTCTTTTAACTTATGTATAAATTAAGTTTAGTTTATGGAAAAACTAAATTAATTTTTTCTTCTAATTTTCTCCTCTTAAAAGTGTTTATGGAGAAATTTATCTAAACAGATCTTATAAGGACAGTGATAGCTACTCCAATAACAAAAGAATTCATACCAGAAGATTTTTTACATGGCTTCTTCTTCAAAACAAAGTCACGCTCGCATCCAAAAGTTAGAGACGCAATTTCAGGCGTTGGTCCATAGAGCTTCTCATCATCAGAATGCCAACCAACATAGTCGTTACCACCATTGTACCTATTTAAGAGTAAGCTATTAAAACTACTCCCAGGGAGAGCCTTATGGACCTTCAGAAGTAAGTAGAAAGAAATATTAAGAAACAACACTACAAACATGGGCCAAAAACCTATCAGTCAAATATATTGTCATTATTAGCAGAATTGGTGAAGAACAATGTTGATTAAAAATCATTCTTACAGCCTCCAATATGTCCTTAAGTGGTGGATAATCATCCCAAGAATGTGCATGCGGCTGATATCCACTGTAAGTCAACTCAGTCAATCCTGGCGTTGCAACATAACATGTGTCTCGAGGCTGCAGAGAATTACATTACATTGCATAACATTAGGAAATTTTAGTTTAACAACCGTATCCATATACAAGAGATTAAATTACATTACGTTGCATTACAAATACAAATACATTTAAGATTCATCTTATCATGTGAAAATCTTGTGCCTATCATTATTCTCTTCACTCTCTAAGTTACAAGGACGGGTAAATTCTAATGAGAGGATTCATTGGATGAAGACCTTCTCAATAACTTGGTTTTGTATTTTTCATACACATAAACATGGAGATTGAAACCAAATACTATGTCTTTTGGTCCATAGACATCATCTAACGAGATTAAGCATAAATAAGTTGATCCAAACTGACATATCCCTTTATTGCATACCACTTACATAATAACATAACAGACTACAACTTCAGAATTCACAAAGTAAACCAGATATATAAAAAGGCAAACCCATTGAACAAGAATATTGAACTAATTAGAAATCACTCTATAAAAGAAATTTAAAATAATTATTACAAAAAATAGACAATCTTAACATACATATAGGTTATAATTAAATTGTAAAAAGAATAGATTTTTGAGGGAATGGTGACCTGAAGGAAAGATTTACCGAAGACGCGAATGGTGGGTCTGGTCCATGGAATGTGTTTGTCGAGATAATGGAACCATTGCCATGATTGATCGAAGGGTATTAACCTCTGAACATATACGACGTCGCTTCCGTTTCCGAGATCCACCGTTTCCCTTTTCACGTTATCGTTAGGGTTCTCCCCCGACACCGCCTTCAACTTCAACACACTCATCGCTGATACCCTCTTCTCATTCCGATACGTAAATTGTTTATAGTGCAAACTTTTCACATTCATATCCAATGACAATAATGTAATTTTTTTTTTATATCGATTAACTTTTAAGTAATAATTTTTTATTGTTGATAATATTTTACACTTGCACTACATATAAATTAAAGTCTTTTTTTTTTTAAAAAAAAAAACTTTTATTTTAAATAAAATTAAAGTCTAAACATCACTTCTCTCTTTCATTTAAAAATTAACAATAAACAATACTCATAGTAATTTCATTTTAAAAAATACTTTTTATTTATAAATATAATTTTAATATATCAACATTATAAATATTTTTATACGTGTTTGGATTTTATGTATTATCAATATAAAAATAATAATATATTGTTAATTAATTAAAAATCACTCTAACTTATTTTTAAATAATTATTATAGAAATTAACATTTTATTATGTACATTAATTTATAAGTTGAGAATAAGGTAAAAAAAATAATACGACGGTTTTAACTAATTTTTATATAAGTTAATCACCTATACATTGTTAGTGTAAATTTTTTTATATTAATAATCAATTATATTTTTTAATAGTATCATGTTATTTACTCATTTAATTAAATAAAAATAAAATAAAATAATTTAAAAGATATGATTGGTTGCCAGTATAAAAAATTTTATATTAGAGTATATAGATGATTAATTTTTTTTATATTCACATGGTGGATAGTGGACCTTTAAAATAATCTATAGTTTTATTAAAACTATCAAACAGATGAATAAGTATTTATTAAGATAAATGCTTCTGTTCATATTTACAAATGCCACTCTTTTTTTTTGTCCATGGAAAATGCCACCATCTTAACTATGAAAAATAGAGCATTCTTTAAACTAGTTAAATAGAAACAAAAATAGAAAGACTAATTAATTTTGACTAATTAAAAGCACATATATAGATAATATTATGTTAGTTAATCAATAATAAAAGTGAAGTTTGCTAGCAAAACCTTTTTAAGTTTTGGCTCAGCATCTTGATTCTTGAAACTGTCCTTCACAATCATCCATGACATGATCATTTTTTTTTTAATTGAAATAATGAAATCAACACAGGAAAATTCCCTCACATATATCACCATTTAGAAATCATTTATAGTGTGTTTGGATGAGGAATTTTACAAATTCAATGAATTTTAAATTCTTGGTATTTGAATTACTTTGATTTCAATTTCTATTATTTTTAAAATATTTTGTTTGGATGAATCAATTCAAATTTATTAAATTTTAAATTGTTAGGTTGAATATGATAATTTTATTCCATCATAGTAAAATTGATTTTAAAAATATATTTATATGTTGAGATTTTTAAATTAAATTTTATAAAAATAAATATTAATCCATTTTTAAATATTTATTAATTTTAAAAATTAATATTAGATAATATTTAATAATTTTAACAATTAATATTAGATAATGTTTAACAATTTTAAAAATATTTTTGAATATCTAATAATTAAAAAAATGAAGAGATAAGATAAAATATATAGGTGAAATAAGAAAAACAAATATGAAGAATTTCAAATTCTTCCATTTTTGGGAGAATTTGAAATTCTACTATTTTAAGGAATTTCACAAATGATTGAATATCAAATTTTTTGTAAATTCTTCATCCAAACAAAGCATTTCACCTCAAAGAATTTGAAAATTTTCAAATAAATGAATTATCCCATATAAATTCCTTATCCAAACACAACATAAAAGATCATTGTATGTAGTGTTACTTGAGTGCACTTAAAGCTTCATTATGGCAGAGTAATTTATACTTCTACAATCTGTTACCTTACAAGTTATCTAAATCTCTTAAAACTCTCCACAAGTTAAAAAATATCATTTCTTTAAAAAAAAAATAATTGAAACAAACGCATTACAACTTTTCTTTTCTTATATCAAAATCAATACAATAGCATCAAAACTTATGCAATACCCAATGAATGCTCATAGCTAAAATGAAGGACAAATTTTCTACAAAACACACCATAAAACCCAAAGAAGCCATAAATCACTACTTGTTGATTTGAAAATGCAGCTTCTAGTGGCTTTTATCTAACTGGGGGATGAGGTATCACCAACTCACTGCTAAATTTAGCTGCAATATGCATCTATTAATGATTTTTTTTTTTCATTTTTGGTAGAAACATCTATGCAGGAGTTAATCAAAAGCAAGAGTCAACTACACATAGAATGTTATAATTATGATCTTGTTAGAGATCTACACATTGGACACATGCAATTTCTGCACTATGTTGCTGGAGCAACAGGTGTGACCAACTTGATCGTCAATTCCAGTTCCCCAGACTCTACTCCACGAAGCCTTAGCCAAACATTCTGCACCACTTCACCATTAACACAGTTGATACTGCTTTCACGGACAAGACAGTTTTCAGCATCAGGTATGACCTTCCTCAATGTTGTCTCACCAGAGGAGACTCTTAAAATATTTCTTAATCTGGCTGCAGAGACTATTGGTTGAAGGTTGAGGAAAGCATTTCCCATCTTGTCATCAGACTTCAAAAGATCTTTATCAAATACTTCCTATTAAAATAAAAGCAACCCAGGTAGTGCTAACAATCAGTGCCTTGTATAAAAGATTTCAAAAATATCACCAGAAAAATTCACAATATATTTCACAAAAGGCTTAAATATCTATTTAGTTCCTACAGTTTCATAAATCTTACCTTTTAATTCCTATAGTTAAAAACATCCAATTTTAGTCTGAGTATATACCATTTTTGTTTCCTTATAGTCTCCGCCTATTTGTTACAAAACTAAAATAGAATGTTTTTAATTATAAAGACTAAAAGATAAAGTTCATAAAACTATAGGGACCAAATGGATAATTAAACCTTTCACGAACACTAAACTTGAGTACCTTCCTTGCAAAAAAGACTAAAACTTTATTTAGATAAGTTTCACCATAAATACTTACCAAAGAAGAAAAATGATATGATTTTTGTATACAACTGATTTTAACTAGAGCATAAGTTACTTTAGCTTGTGAGAGAAGTTCATTTCATTTTTTCTTTTTTTTTATTTTCTTCTTCTTTAAGGGCTTGTTTGCATAAGTTCTTACGAATTAGCTTATGATAAAGCTAATTTCATTTTTCTTTCCTATGTATTTTTCCTAAAAGTGGTTCCACAAAAATCTATCCAAACAGACCTTATGTACTTCTAGAAAAACTTTTCTGATAGGAAGAAAACAAAGAATGAAGGAGCATAGTAAATTTTAGGTAACTCACCAAATTCAGAAGTCCCAAGGGTTCAGTCAGAGTGAAATTCAGCTCTTCATTCCAAACAGGATTCAAGCAGCTATTGATTACCTTGGTCTTTGCAGTCTGGTACAGTTTAACGAATCATTTCAACATTTGAAGGTTAAAATGTGCTAATAAAGTTAATGTCAAGAGAAACATGCTAAAAATGAAATTGACCTATAAATCATATTTACCTGGTTCCCTAGTTTGAGCACAACATAGGGATCACTGCTCTTGAAGTCTCGGATCACCAACCTTTTGCCTTGCACAACTATGACTTTTAGCAGCCCCAATTCTTCACCCATTATACTCCTACTGACAGGTTAAAATATAATCAAGCAAGGTCAAGACCATAGTAAAATAAAAAATGTAAACTGAAACATCCACAAGAAGAAGAAGGAAGAAATAAAAAAATTAAAAAAAAACAAGGATGCCTAGTACGTATGATGAATGGTGGAAAACACTCCCCCTTTACAAAGAATTCCAAGTTGTCAACCCAAGAGAAAAATAAAACATGGAAGACTCATTTTTTCTTAAAACTCAAATTGGAAAAAAAAAAGAAAAAAAAATGGTTAATAAGATTTATCCGGCAGTAAATTGAATGCAAGCAAACTGAAAAATGAAGTAAACAAGAGAAGAGAATAAACGAAGAATATTCTGGTGGAGAAGGTGGCTTGTAGTTGAAAGGAAAATACCCATAAGAAAAGATGAGTTTTTTCAAGTAACTAAATATTCCAAATATGCTTTGCTACAGTAATAATAGTAACAAAAGCAAAGAAGGGGGAAGAAACAGGGAAATACCGACAAGAAAAGGCAATAGATTATTGAACTGAATGAGAAGAAAAAAAAGTGAGGAATGAAGAGCGTATTAATTAGTTCCTGAGTAAATAGAGGTAGGAGTAGGATCGTGATCCGAATCCGAAGTGAAGTGAAGATAAAAGGAAGAAAAGAAGAAAGTAAGACATGAAAGAAGTAGGAACTCACCAATGGATAATTGTTGTGATTGTGAATGAGAAATGAGTAATTAAAGGCACTGGAAGAAGGTGTTCAGCGGTAGCTACAGGTTGGTAATGAGAGAGGTGTATATAAGGACAAAGGAGTGACACCTCACAGCTGTCGGTCAAAGGACAAGAATTTGACCAGGCCAGGCAAAGCTTGGTCTTCTTTTTGGTTTATGAGTGAGTGCGTGCGCGTTTCAGACTTGGTTCGCTTCTGACTCTGACAACGCTCTTTGATGAATCAAAATTATAACTTTTACTTATTATGCACATATATCACTAGTCTTCTGATGAATCGTCTTTAGTTAGTTAATTATTATGTTACATCAATTGTTGCATGTTAAATGATAAATGTATGTTAACAGATGCTTAAAAGATTGTATTTATATATATTTTTTATAACACGAGAGGAAAGTTTGTGAAAATGAATGCTATCACACCCACCTTTAATAGTAATATATTAATAACTCGTGCACAAGGGATGTGATAGTCGGTGGCTTCGTTTGATCGAGATAACGAGTGTGTTAAGTGTATACTTTTTCGAGACTCGTCAGGTAGTGCCACTGTGATCACGACGAGACTACTTTTTTTTTTTTTTTTGGCATGCAAGTAAAATCATACTTTACGTTCGGAATTATTATGCGAAAGATGTAAGAAATATAATCATTCATAGCCATGAGATGATTTACTTCACATAAGCCACACTTATCGATCCCTTTACTGCTTTTTGTAATCCTTGCTTTAATTAAGAAATAAACAAGTACACAACATAATGGCCTTTTAATAAAAGTATTGCGAAAACAGTGTGTACGCAATATTGTTCTAATAACTATTTTATCAATTGCATTACTATATGGAATAGTTAAGAAGAATTTTGGTGGGACAAAACCGAATCGCTTGCATTGCATGATAAGTCAACGGTAGTTACGGTACTAAGTCGTCTAGGTTGTGGAACTCATTTCAGTTGATGAAATAAAAAACCGCAGGTTCGTAAACCATGTACAACACAAAACAACTAGATGGAACTGATGGTTAGGTCATCTTTTTCACGGATGCTTAGACTACAAAAGTATAACAAACTAAAGTTACAAATACAATTATCCCCACGTATAGCTGTACATGTTGCCCCACTCAATGAAATATCAATTTGGTTGGAAGGATGAAAACATCCTCATGAATCATATGCTAAACCTATCACCTACAATACTAAAAGGTCATTTAGCATAACATAATCCTAAAAAAACCCTAAAGCACCACTTCTTTTTTACTCTAAACGTGGGGATGACAACTGTTATATTACATCTACAAAGTGGCACATCTATTAGTGCGTCAACAAATGACAGTCATCATCCACGCTGATACCTATACTTGCACTGAAACACACTAAATGCTGCCACAGCACCACTGCTACAGAAATCTTCAGAGATGTCAAACTGCTCACCGTTTTTGCCCTGAGCTTTTCTTTCCCGAAGGACGCCTCCATTTGCTCTGCATCAGCCATTCTTAGAGATTATTCATTATCTTACAAAATAAAATGTACTAGAATTTTATCAAGTAAATAAAACTAGGTATGACAATTCCGCAAAGGATGAGCATTTTACCAGCGGCTCATCATCAGAAACTTCAGCAATTTTGGCACCATCAGGACTCACTGACTCTGTAAGTGATTTTTCGACTTCTTTAGGACTAGTTTCCCCATCACTATCATTCTGGTTTCCTTTAGAAACCGATTCTTCCCCATTGTCATTTTCTCTCAAAGCTCTTGATTCATCCACATTTGTCTCTTTTGAACTTCTTTCTTCATCATCATTTTGATCTCCTTGTACGGCACACTCTTCAGAAATCCTCTCACCATTATCCTGCTTCTCTTGATCTGATTCCCGCTTCTCTTCATTTAATTCTTTCCTATAACTCAACCTCTTCTCTTTCTTAAGTTTCTTTCCACGTAAAACAGATTTTGCTTTCTTGTTTAATTTCTTCTCCTTAGTTACGATTACATCCGACCCTTCAGCTTGCTCCGCTTCAGAACCACCTAGAATAGAAAATCAAACATAAATTAAAAGAGAAAAAAGAACAGAGCAGACGAAAAAGAAACAGAAGTCTTACATAATAATGAGGAACCATAAATATCACTACAGTTAATTATAGTTTGAGACTCCAAGCATAATATTCATTTCCATATGTAATTGGCAAAGAATTAACCATTTCACAAAAGCAATACTCCTCAATGATCATAACATGGTAAATGTACATATTGACATGATACTTAATGAACAAAATTTAAGTTAAAACCTATATCAGATTCAATATCACAAGTAAAATATATGCCCAGTTTTGCAGCACAGTAATTAAATGGTTTTTTGTTAACATCAGCCCTCAAGACTGTTGTCAAGAATACAAAAGTGTAAAGTTTTTAATATTGGGGGAGAAAACATTCATTACATTGGAAATACAAAAGTCATTTATTTATTTTCTTTCCTAATAAAATCTTCCCATTTTTTGCATTCTTAACAACAGCCCATAGCAGGTGTCAAAAAAAAAAAAGAGCCATTAGGGGTGACATTAACAAAACAGATAACTAAGAGTTTGGTCACTAACAAGAAGCTTTCTCCTCTTAATCATCAAAAGAGCCCACTCAAAGATTAGCTAATTCAAAACAAATACATTATTTTAGTAATTATAGTTTTCATTTGATGGGTATGGCAGATACGAGGGAGAGCCCTGAACAAACGTTAAGGTTACTACCTTTGGACCTGGTCGTCATGGGTCCTAGTCAGAGGAATAGACTCTTACGAGGGTTAGGCTGTTTCCATTTTGGGCCTTCCGAGACCTCCAAATGCTGGGAGCATCATGTACTAGGCTTCCCTTTTATGGGTAATGGTAGATAAAAAATAATATCTGAGTCTGAGCTTTCACAAACTCCATTGCATTGACAACACAATTTATTTTCCTAACTGACACCAAGATTGCTGTCATTTGATGGGAATTTGGGTATGACACGTCCTTTCTGACATTAAGGCTGTCTATTAATCTGATTGGATAGTACATTTAAACCTGGATAGTTGACCCATATTTTTGTAAAAACAAATTATACTTAATCTGTTACAGAAACAAACATGCCAAACACCTATTTTACAGAAACAAACAATTAAGCAAGCCCAGAGATATATAACCTCCCAGGGGATGAGAGTAGTAGTTATGTTTTATCTTGTACAAAATGTTCTTTTTATTTCACAAAGTTGCATTGAAATATAACTACTAGGTTTCCACAGGTCCTGAAGCATGAAATCAAGAACACAATATTACATACACATAAACATGATCGCATCTAATCAATCAGGAGATGTCAATGACAATCAATATATGCATCATATCTTTTAAATTACATTACCTGAGTTAATCTCAGCTTTAGATATAATGGTATCTTCAGGGTTCGATAACTCAGAACTCTCTTTGGGATCCTCATTATGGAAATTAATTTTTGAGACACCTTTTTGTCCATGCTTTACATTCTTGCTAGGAGATTTCTTACCATTAACTCTACACTCCAAAATGATACAAGTTATAATGACAGAACATTGAATAAAATCATAAATGTACAATAGAGTCTCATTTTTCCACTAACATTTTTTTTGTCTTTTTACTAGCTGAACCACTAGAATTTGTCTGCTTCTTCCCAGCAGACCTATAAAACAATCGAGAAAAACAACCCACAAATTACAAGACATCCTATTAAGCTAGAAGAAATAAAACACACCACACTCATTGCAGATGAACATTCAAAATTTCCAAAAATAACATGGAAGTTTTCGTCTTCAGATGTACAGTGAAACATGTTCCTCCAAATACAACTAAACTAAAAGTAATTTTTAAAAGGAATACTTACAAATCCCGGGAAGAGAGAGGTTTTGAGGGCTTTAGCTTCTGCAAAAATCATTAATATAAAATGGATCAAGCTTCAAAGATATTGGATATCATTCAGTGGAAATAGTAGAAGAACAGCAGAACTGCTTCAGATAAAGAAAGAAGATTAATGGAAAAATGGATACCTTAGTAGGTTCGCAAACCCTGTCAATACGCTCCCATCGTTCCTTTTCCAAATGGAGCACTTCAACATCCCCATCATCATATGATATCTTCCGCATGACATGCCACAGTAAATTGTGTCAGAATTGTAACTGGCAGATTAACTTTGCACTAACTCAGAGTGTAAGCTTACCACATGTTTCCTCTTTGAAGGATCATAAGACTTAACAGTGCCTTCATAGAATCTGTAGAAATCAATACATCAACATGAAACTTCAATTAGAAATCCTAGGAACACGAGAAGAAATTAGGGATTTCAGGTATTTGTTTCTAGGCTTAAACTAAAGAAAGCATACAAATAGTATATTAGATGGTAGAAAGCTGTACACTAATAATTAATCCAGAGCCAGTCAGGAATTTAAAACAGTTAATCAGAACATATGCAGCATGTAAAACCTAAAGAAATAGGAAAACTAAGAAAGGTGCAGTCAAAGGAAGCAGCTAAACGTATGAGTCATCTTCAGAGAATGTGGTCAAGATGCTTCTAGCGTCACTAAAAAATTTATTAAAAAAAAAAACATTTTTTTTCTTGTCTATCTCCTAGATAAACAAAAATACTGGCATCCATATACTGTTTTGTTTCTACAACTGATCTCTCAAGATTCAATATAAGAACTTACTCCTTATCCAAAGGCCACCAAACTTTAATTCTGCAGCCAATTAGATCTTCAGGATCACTTTCCCCCTCCTTTGTTGTACACTACAGTGGAAAAAATAAAATAAAAAAGTAATATCTGAGAGACTTGCTGGAAGTCTGGAACACAAACATTATAACATGGCATAGAGACGCTACTCATGAAGACAACTGCAACATTGACTACAAAAGGAGTGGAGAAATTTACCTTAGCCAATCCCCCGATACTTTTTCTTTTCAACTTTTTAGCAGATCCTGTA